TAGCTCAAATAATTAGAATTTGCATACATTCTAAATCCATTTTTAATGAGAAAGAGATAAATGATAAATAACCATGGATATAATGGCTCCATTTCAGAAACCAATGCCCAGGATACACAATATTCTAGAATGAGTAAAGATATGAGCACACCCAATACAACTTCCACATGTTCAATCTATAGATTGAGAATTCCTATCTAAAGTAGTAATCCTGAAAGAAATTCTTTTGAACTTCTGAATCATCAAAATTATTAAGTTACTTATACATTTTATCTTAAACATATTTATTGCATCTAATTCTTGCCAAACTGCTAACGCATGTCATACAAAATATAATCTCTCTTCACAAAATAATTTCTAGAGATTTGGGAGACCAGAGAAATTTTAAAATACTCTAATCTACCAAAAAATATGCAATTGCACACACAGAATTCCCAATTATATTAATGAATGAGCTTCTATAAAGGGGTAAATTTTCATAAACATCTCTCATGAAAAACTATTCGCTTTCATCATCAGAGGAAAGCTGTTTGTGAAAGAAGAGAAAAACTTAGAGTTTATAGGAAGGAGATCAATAATTATCAAGCCAGGAATGGAGGTGTCTTGAGTTTTTAATCAAGGAGGGAGGGAGGACAAGAAGTAGATGAAACAACAACATGTTGCTAAAACAAATGGAGACTATGCAAAAGAGGAAATCCTGAACAGATGTTCAGCTCATAAAGTTGGTGCTCATCAAATACTCCAAATGTCTTCCTCTGCGATGCCCTGCTTCCCTTACAGCCAGGTTGGGGCAAAGTGACTATTACTGGCCTAATTTACTATGAGTACATTAGGTGATGTAGGAAGTATTTACTGTTAATAACCCTGAATTAATACAACACGACTCTGGAATATTCACGCACGCACACACACACACACACACAGTGTGTACCGTGATAAACAGTAGATGTTCCATGTTCATTTTGTCATTTGTTGAATGGGTAATACCAGCCTATCCTGAGACATTTCTTTGATACCCACACATACAACTACCTGACATTGAGTAAGAAATAGAAAAAAATTATGTAAAATACCATTTGTCTGTGTACTATGTGTCTGTGAATATTCACACTGATGTATTTGAACAGAATTCCTTGAAAACAATGATGTGAGGGTTGAGTCTAGAATTAGCCAAACTGTGGCAATCTGGAATTTGTACAATGATGGTGATGATGATGATGGATCACTCCATAATGCTGTATTTACTTTTGCTACATTACTGAGTCAATAAGCCAGGTATAAAGTTATTAATGGTCTCGGTGACTGAGTTCTTAGTTTATCTGCAAACCAAGAACAGGCTGGACATTTTGCAATATATGCCTTGCTGACTAAATTTAACTCATCAGAGGTAAGAAAACAGGTGCTCAAAGCTAAGAGATAATATTGACCAACATGCATTTGCTTTATTTTTATTAGTATTTTTAAGTGACTTTTTCTTTAAACAAAATACTAGCCACCATGGTACCTTGTGAATTATAATACTAATCATGCAACAGATAAGATGGTTAGAGGAACTAAATTATTGTAAGAGCTTTTAAATCCTACAAAAGGAAAATAATATAGTCATAGAAACAGTGGTATAACGAAAAGTTAATACGGAATTTAAAGAAATGACTCTTTATAAGAGTCATGTCAATATACTTTTAATAATACCTTTAAAAACATAATGATTTAATAAACATATTTTTAAAGGACACGAGTAAAATTCAGCAAAATGACTCCATTTTTTCTCAAAATTATTTTCCTAAATAGAAGAAAAACTGACTAAGTCGTCAAGATAAATTCCAAAGCATACATTCAAAGAAATGTGTAACACTTACTACTTGCCCTGAATAGTTGGCTAAGGAACTAACCTCAACAGGTAGCACTAGAGGCTGTGGGGAGGCACAGGGCCAGGGCCCTTTCAACCGCTCCCCTCAGGAAGCTCTTCTGGAAGGGCTGCCCCACAGCCTGGAGGGCAAGAAATGCTTTTCTGCCCTCATTCAGGGTAACAATAAGCACTAATGTGTGAGGAGTAAAGGGGACATTAGAACATTTCATCTCAAAAGACATTTTCACGTCATAATAATCTCTGATATAGCCAGCCTCATACCTACAGCTTTTTTTCTCCCCTTAGAATATTATAAAATTTGGTTTTTGAAAGCATGAGTTCTGTCCATAATAAATCCAATATCAGTGGATATTTTTAATTATAACTATTTTTATTTTGAAATTTAGTTTTGAACACAAACTATAAAAGAACCATAATGTATCCTCTGAGTTAAAAATATTATTTTTTGGGAAAAGTTCATAGTTCTGAGTCCATAATATTAGGAATATGGTTATTAACTATGAAAAAGAAATATTAATGTTTAGATAATTCCTATTTCTACGATTTGGGGTATAACAATACATTTCTATTTTTAAGCCACACAATATTTGCTTAGAGTTCCACTATCTCAGGGGACCCGCTTAACTTAGTAAGCTTCACAGAACCACGTGTGTGAAGTTTCACCATTCGAAGTCACCGTTCTGAATACTAGAATATTCTGAATAGAAAAGTCTCTAAAGTTCTTTTAAATAAACAATATTCTCCAAAATAGTCAAGGTTAATTCAGTTTAATATTTTGATTTAAAACTAAAACAAAGCAAAATTATTTCAATACTCCGAAGTTCACATTTCTCAAATAGAAATGGAAGACAAAAGCAATTAATCTGAAACACGCTTATACTGTTTCCTAGGAAGGCTGTCCTTTACGAAGGCACAGCTGTAAACAGGGAGTACAGAAAGGGACTTTGGAAATGTAATTACACATTTGCACACATCTTGAGGGGGAATGGCGTTCTAAGAGGACAGTTCAAAGGCCATTAATGCCATAGTTACCTAAGAAGCATTCACTGCTCTTTCCTGGGATCCTATCTTATAATTAGGTTGCATATTCAGTTTTTATTGTCTGCAATCCTGGAAAGCTCGGATGGGGAGGAATCCCATAGCCTCCAGGGCCAAGTGGGCAAGGGGTGGGTGTTTCAGTGTTAGATTCCTTATCTGATTTTCACATTCACGATGACTCTGTGGAAGCAGACACATACCTCCCCCGGGGACTGAAATCATCCATTAGCTTATACTGTCTGAGATGTAAGACACAATTGAGATTTCAAGAAGACGGAAGACCGAGAACGATAAAGATGAGCAAGCACCCTGTGGGAGAGCAAGGGGCTTCAAAGGTCAAGTTCCTGAAATGGTTCTCCCCTCCAGCTGCAGCTCCGCACCTCCCTTCTCGGCAGATGACTGTGCGGGTGACAGATTTGAGCACTGCGTCCCGGCTGCGAGAAGCCATCAGCTTCCTGGACAATTGCAGCTTTTCACGTGGATTCTTCCTTATCTCCCTGGAAAAGAATGAGGCGCATTCTTCCACCCAAGAGCAGCTCCTGCAACCTGGCGGAGGGTCTGCACCCGGGGCCCGCTCCCTCTTGTCCCGGTGGGGCGGCGCGCAGCAGCGAACCGAGGCGCCAGACTGGGGGGAGGGGAGTTTGATGCCACCCAGTTCTGTACTCCCCGCTTTTACAGATCTGCCGAAGTTCCAGAACGGGCCCCTTGCGTCCCTGGGGTACAGCCTGCGTCTTGAACGTGAAACCCAGCAGAGGCAGCACAAAAAGGCAAGTCTGCCTCTTGCCCCCAACACGCGTCCACCAACTCCTTCCTAAGCGACTCGGCGCGTGGTGATCCCTCCTCTTTCAGGGGCTGCGCCCTACCTTAGTTCAATTTTCTAACAATATATTTAGCACTTAATTTCTTTCTGTTTCTTTCTTTTCCAAAATGAGAAAATTAACGAAGTTCTCCCTTCTTCTCTTCCCCTCTCCAAGTTGTGGTATTCATCCATTCAGCAGGGAATGTTCTTGTTCGAGGCCGCTTTGCCCCCAGGATTCTGGAGCTTCGCAGAACTGGAACTTTGAGAACAGCGAGGTAGAGAAACATCCAGGGAATCCAAACAACGGGCACTTTCGCCCTCACATCAAGTTTTCTTCCTGCTCTGGACCGGCCCGCCCTGGTCAGTCTGGGTGCCCACCTCCCATCGCGTGCTCCCCGATGACCTCCTGCCCGTCACTCTGACGGTCCCCCCACGTAAGCCAAGTCTGGGCAGCTGTCGGCCCAGGTGCCCGCCCCTCCTCTCCTGCCCTCTCCTGTCCACATCCCAGGTCCTCTACGATAGTCAACGCGCCCCTCTTACCTCCTCCTCTGGTCACTGGAGAAGTTTTGAACCCCTGGGGGTCTACACTGTTTGCCAAGTCAGGCAGAGCATGTTTCAAGAAAGAACTATGAAAAGGTCTCCATAAACTTTGTTGTTGCGAACGCTCCCGTGTCAGCGGCCCTGAACACACACCTGCCTGCACACGGCGCAGGTACACCTGTCCCGGCGTACCCAGGGCCAAGGAGCCTGTCAGGGGGCAACTCTTCCGGGAGCATTAAACTCACTGGCCGTCGCCGGCGGGGATGTGCGGCGCTGGTTGGGCATCCAGAGAGAATTTCGAAATGGGCTTGGGAAGCGGGGACCAGAAAATGGTGATTCTAAACACACACACGGGAGCGTCTGCACACAGAGCAGTTCTCCCCAAAAGGCGCACACTTTAGAGAACAGACCATTGTGGGCTGCACTGTATAGAGACCCCCCCGCCGGGGCACATTCATCTTGGAACTGACAATCCGTTTCGTCTCCAGGACTTCTCAGTCTGGGTCCAAACCAGCACCGCGCATATGAGGATGGGGACCGAGGCGCTCCCGGAGCCCTCAGCCCGGTCTGCAGAGCCCCCCGAGGCAGGTGCGGGCTCCCAGCCCAGCCAAGCAACAAGCGGGCTGTCTGCGGGAGGGCCGGGTCCCTCTTCGCCCCTGTCCCCGCGCGGTCACCTCTCCCCGCCCCCCATCCCCAACAGCCAGCCGCGCCAAACGGGCGCAGGGGAAGGAGAAAGCCGAGCGAGCAACTCACCCCCAGCTTCCTGCTGCGGATTTTCACGTAGCCCTGCTTGACTATGTCGTTAAAGTTGGAGGCCATGGCCGGAGCGTTCGGCTTCCCCGAGTCGAGAGCCGCCGTCCGCCGCCGGGTCCGCGCAGGTCTCGCATCCAGCCAGCCGCCTCCAGCAGCCGCGCCGCCGCCCGGTGCCCCCGAGCTCCCGCCGGCGGGCACGCGGGCTGGGTGGCAGGGCGGCCGCGGACGAGGAACGCGGCCCGGCGCCGCGAGCAGCGCCCGCCCTCCGCGTTCCGGTCCTCACCTTCGCCCCCCGCCGCGAGCTAGCGCCGCGGTCCGCGCCGCCGCCAGCTGCGGGCGCCCCCTCCGCGCCACCGCCCCCGGCAGCACCCACGGGCTGGCGCCTCACTCGCCGCGCACAGCTGGCCGGAGCGCACCGGCGCGGCTCCCGGCGCGGGGGAGGGGCGCGCGGGGGGGCGGGCCGAGTCGCCCGCCCGGCTCCCTCCCCCCGGCCCACGGGGTGGTTGGGCTCGAAGATGCTCGCAAGACGCGCTCCATCTCACTCGCGACTCGGGCGGGGAGCTCCTCCCTCCCCCCGCGCCCTGGGTCCAGCTCCCACCCGGCTCCCTCTGCCCGCAACGCTTCCCAGGGTGCGGGATTGCTGAGGACACGGCTCCTCATTCTGGGGCTCTTAATCTCCACTCCCAAACTGGACACCGGGGAAAGGGCTCTGGGGATGCTCCAAGGAAGAAGGCAAACGGGAGCGAGACGATTGTTTATTTCAATGGCCCTGTTTACAGTGCATTTTTATTCCTAAGCACACGCTCGCGTTCCAGGTCTTTGCCCCGTTAGGAAGTGTAAATCGACGCCAAGCCCTTCCTGGTGCACACAAAGAGACCAATCGTGCGCATGTGTCTAATCCCTCTGCTGCTGAAGAGACTGGAGCAATCAGGCGAGGCAGCCGGTCGCCGACGTCCTCGCCGGTAGCAGCAGCGAGGACCAGAGCGGACTGATTTACACATGCGTTTTAGTTAACTATGGCTAAAAGTGGCTCGTGGCTTTTAATCTTCTAGGGGAAGTGGAGACCATAGCTATTACTGGTGGATGCAAATGATTTATTGAAATGTTCAACTTATAAAACAAAACAATGAAGAACTTTGTCCCCTAATGTAGGAACGCATGACATTTAAAAGTAGGGTATTCTCTATTGTAAAAAAAATTTTTAATTTAAAAATTATTTTTGTAAGGTTCAGAGAAAAATACGGAGTTTTAAATTTTGGTTAGAGGCACTATATAGATTTTTGCTATAGGCAAGAATATTTTGTACCTAGTAACTAAGGATGTTTCTAACTAAAAAACATACATAAAAAGATTGAAATTTTTCTGTGACTCCTTTATTTACAGTCTATATTTAATAAAAGTATAAAAGATGGTGTTTATTTCTGCTTATTTTAGTGAGTAGTCTTTTTCCGTGTTATCAGTTAAAATTTCTTTGGGAACGTAATAGTATTGAGAGAAAGGAAACTACTTGATTGGGGGGAAAAAACTATAAAAACTTGAAGGACTAAGTAGCATGCCCCTCACATTAACTAAATGGACACTCCAAGGATGACTTTCGTCCCATCATTAGCAAGAGTCTCCATCTAGAACCTGTATAACCCAATGGAAACTCTAACTTGCCTTAGCAGCACACTACTCCTATTCATTCACTTATGTGGCAAACATTTGTTTGGACGATCAACCATACAGAGTACCTGATGCTGGGGCATCACATGGCGAGAAACTTAGGCTGTCACTCCAGAACGACCTCAAGCTCTCACCTTACCAGGAAACTTACATAAACTCCCTATTAACTTGGTGTGGTTCCCCTCCTCCAAACACCTGGGGCGTGCTGTCCATTCCTTTCATTTGTTACTAGTTCATTCACTATATGGCTGTTATTTCTTTTCTTTATGTGAAGACTCTTTTAGCTTTGCAGAAGCTTTAAATACACTATTTCATTCAGTCTTCTTTGCACCATATGTTAAGTGAAGGATACTTGCCATTTACTAGATGAGGAAACTGTGGTTCAAAGACATTCAATTTCAAAGCCACAATTTCAAGATTGGTTTTGTGTCTACAATAATTTCCATGACCACTAACTTCCACCATCATTTATATAATAATTTGTTTCCACAAATCAATTCTAAGGTGTATGAAGTCAGGGATTAAGTTTGTCTCAGCAACAATCTCAGTGCTAACCTATGGATCAGGGATGGTTGGTAACTCTGGCTTTAAATGATTACAGAATGATTATGCCTTTGCTCATATGCCTAGGTAGGTCTCTATAATGCCCTAATATGATTTAAATATTCCCCTATAGTTACTTTTGACTCTTAAATTTGTGATATAGGAATTTGGGTGTGTGTCTATAGCAAGTATGCTCTCCCTTTTTTTATACTGTTTATTTGTTTACTGCTTGAAAACACTAGGTTGTCATGTAAATTTTCCCAGTTCTGGATTTCGTTGATTGTATCCTTGTGCATCATTTTGTTACCTAAACCTCAAACTTCCTATTAACTGGTAATGTGACTTAGAAATGTGAGCACATTTTTTTCAAGAATAATTAATGTGAGGTGCTGTGTATATCCTACTGAATCACACCAAAAGGAACAAAATGTCTGACTGTCTCACTGACTAGAGGGATGGAGTGTTGTCAGCCCAACATACATTATAAAATCCTCCAGCAATATTCCACTTAATGGTTTTTGCAGCCACCAACGATCCTTGCATAGATATACTGTTTCATTAGGTATTGCAAAGTTGTGATTTTCAAATTTGATTTTATCTCTGAATTTATAGGCTATTTCCTTACAAAACAAAACAAAACTTTCCTTTGCAAACTACAGGATTGCCCTGAAATAAATTCCTTATAAGAAAGGCAGGAAATATGTTTGATTCTTCTTCATCAACCATTTTCAGAAATATTGAATGGGTTCTTGCAAACACAAAAGGACACCCTACTTCCTTTGGAATATCATCAAAAATGGAGGTTTGTATATGTGATGTATTTCAAACCATCAAAGTCATTATTCTCTTTGGTGTGTGAATTTCCACATCCTTCACCAGAAGTTGCTGCTTCAGTTGACATTTTTCTGTGTTTTTATCAGGTACCCATGGACCTTAACAGCTTCGTTGTGATCAATCACAAGATATCCCAGGCTCATCTTACACATTTCCAACTCCAAACCTGGAGCCATTATTTCTCTTAGGAACCTTTGTTAGTTTTAATGAGAAATGAAATTCAGGTCCCATAATCTGGTTACTAGGGTGTTATTTTTGCTACTGGTTCTAAGCTTTTCAGTTACAGAGAAATGAAATACTTATTTTAGAAATATATTTTAAAAGAGAAAAGTTCTCAGTTTTTACAGATATTTCCAAGTCAAATTAATGTTGACAAATTCCATATTTAAGGATTTCTTCTTTTCTTTTAAGGTTTTCATTATGTTAAATATTTACAAGTTTCCAAAGTCAAACCTATCAAACAAGGCACATTGAAGGCTATATCTCTGATTTCTGTCCCTTCCTCTCTGTTTTCTACCTCCTTTTTAGGAAATAACTTTTATTGGATTTGATTCAATCCTTCCATTGTTGCTTTATGACATAAGGAAAGACATACATGTGCTCCTATTTATGTTTTTCTAACGCACTAAAAAATTGCATACTATTCACACTTTTATCACCATGGTAGACACTCTCTAAACTGGGCCACGAAGATCCCCACCTCTTGGTATGATGTCCCACATACTTCCTCCTTCTGAGTGTGGGCTGCACTTTTTGACTGACTTCTAGTGAATAGAATGGTAAAAGGGAAGGAGTGTGCTTCCCAGATTAGGTTACAAAAAGACTGTGGCTTTTATCTCGGGTGATCTCTATTGGATTGCTTGCTCTGGGTGAAGCCAGCTGCCACAATATGAAGCAATCCTGTGGAGAGGCCCATGTAAGTGAGCTCAGAGGTAGATGTTCTGAGGTTTCCCAATAGCCATGTGAGTAAACTCAGAAATGGATCCTCCCCAGTCAAGCCTTTAGATGACTACACCCTGTCTAATACTTTAAGAGAGATCATGAGCCAGAACCAGCCATCTTAGCTACTACTAGTTGTTCCTAAATAACAGAAGCTGTAAGGTAACAAAGGTTTGTTGTTTCCATTTGCTAACTTTTGGGGTAATGTGTTATGAATAACTAAAATAGATTTTGATATGTGGAAGTAAAGTGCTGCCTTAACAAAAACCAAAAATTTGGGAATGGCTTTGGAATCCATCAGCGGCCTTGAGTAGAGTGTTAGTGAAAGCTTAGAGTTACTTGCACACACTGTTTGCAAAATTTTGGAGATTGAGAACACTATGAGTGAGATCTTAAAGTAAAGTGATGAAAATATTATTGGAAATTGGAGGAAGGAGTGTTCAGGTTATGCCGTGGCAGGGAACTTAGCAATACTGTTTCCTGAAGCTGTGTAGAAGCTAGGAAAAGTGCTTAAAAAACCATGTCATCTAGATAAGAAGATTTCCAGGCAAAGTGTTGGTGGTGCAGCCTATCTCTTTTTACTACTAGTAAAATGAGAGAGGAAAGAGATAAATTGAGGGAAGAACCATTAAACCTTTTAAAAAGTAGCCAAGAACTGATGGTTTTGAATATTCTCAGCCTCTTCAAACCACAATAATGCCGAAATTAAGAAATGGCTTCTGAACAAAGATCTTGTCTTGGGCACTGCTATGAAAATTTGATCTAAAGATAAAGCCAAATGTTTTTTGTACAATCACACACTTCACTGTATCTTTATCTAATAGAGTAAAGAGATTCATGGGAAACTCACAAAGTTCATCAAAGAGGTATATAGGCAGAAGCAGTATCAGATAAAGACAATCCAGAATGAGGAGAGGCACTGGGACTCCCAATATTCTATTGGCAGGAAGCAGGCTGAGAGAACAGCTCAGCTACAAAAGAAAAAACATGCTAGCTTTCATGAAAAAGTAAAGAGATCTTAGAGAGAGGACCCAAAAGCCTAGAGGGAAGAGCCAAGAATCAAGGAGACATATTCCTTGACTTTGAAAACTAATCCAGGAACTTCCAACATTTTCCCATTTGCATTTCATGATTATGGATCCTTGATTCTATATGACTTTATGGGTTTTTTTGAAAAGGAACATGTATAGTGGTTGTACTGTGCTTGTCTCACCATTGAATGTTGGAATTGTGGGAGGCAGGTTACTTGTCTCTTTAGATTCCAAGGTCTACAGTTTGAGAACAAGATCCACAGTGGAAAAACTATGCCTAAGGTAC